CTTCAGTCAAACTCTTTTTTTTCTCTCTCTCTGGATGCTCATTTATCAATAAGAATTATTCATAAATATTTAATAAATTAGTAGTAAACTTTTGTACTAACTACATGCTTGGATTTCTAATATCCCATTCAAAAAATCTAAAGCACAGGCTCAAGTATTCTAGCTTATCTTGTGTACTGAACTGTATTTGGGGGGGTGTTAGATCAGTTAAACAGAACTGTGACTAAAACTTTATGAATAACAATTCTATGCACACTAGATCTCATATGGATGAAGGAACAAAACTTGCTTCTCAATCCAGCTATTAACTTCAAAAAGATGAAAAGGTATCCTTCCATTTTCTAGAATGTCAATTTGGAGAAATAATATATTCTGATTGCATAAAAATCTCCTAGTCATCCATAATACCAATTACATTGATCAGGAAAAACTGGAACCAACTAGATTTAAGAAAATGATGTTTCTCCCCTGAAGAATAGTTCTAAGAAAGCTCTAAAATTTGGGGACTTTTATCTGTAGGATAAATGTAACATATGCTATTTGGCTTCTTGTCTAGGCCATAAGTATGGGAAGTTTTGCCTTTTTCACTGATATAGTTGGTAACTTTGGACAAGGATAAACTAGCCTGATGTAGCTTCATAAATGAGTGAAAACATTTCAGCTATGATATAACCAATCAGAATACTCTAGATATTCAAATAAAGAAATGCCATCTGGCATGAAGTGCCACATGCCAGATCTTTTATAAAATAACATTCTTAGTAAATATGCTAATACAGAAGCATGTGTTTTCTGTCACACTGATTTTGTATTTTCAAAGCTGGATAGATATGGAAACACTGAAAATTATTGTTCTTCATGTTGTTTTATAAAAAGATCTCGTACAAAACAGACAACTCTCATATTGTCATGAGATGAGCAGCAATATGAATTGTACAATAAATAGGCTCAGAAATAAACCTATCACCATATTTAGATGTGAAATTTTCTAATTTGAAATGGACACAAAAGCCTTAAAACCATAAGACTCTATCCAACATTTACCTGAAAGTGTAACGATTCCTTTGGCTTGTGGCTGAAAACGTAAATACTTGTTACAGAAGGAAGGTGATTCAAGAGCCAGGAACAAGACATTTCCCAAGAAGTAGCCAGCCGTCTGACCCACGGAATTACAAGTGGATGCGTAGCCCACATTTTCTCGTGATAACATAGTCAATGCCCAGCCATCTACAGCTATGTCCTGAGTGGCTGCTAGGAATTCAAAGAGGAAGAAGGTCACAGTAAGGGCCACCACATCTGGGCTTTCGCCATCGACCTCCCCAAGCAGAGAATCCACTCTCATAGACAAGTACATCATAAAAAAACCTATAACGTACTGAGTTGGCACAAGCCAAGACTTTCGGCGACCAAAGTTCTTGAAGTACACAGCGTCCACCAAGGGAGCCCAAAGCAACTTCAGACTGAAAGGCCAGAAGACAAAACTAAAGAAAGCCTGGTCCTTGTAGCTGACATTCTTGCTTTGCAAGATGAGGGGGATGCTGCCAGCAAGCCCCAAAGGAATCCCTTGCAGCACATACAGGAAGAGAAGGAGCAGGATATTGCCAAACTCTGCTCTATAGTTTTGGGGAAGCTCCACTGGCTGGAAATGTGGCTCCTGAAGCAGTGCTTCCCTGTCATCTTTTCCGATAGCGTCCACGGGGCCATCTTCATAGAAATCTAGAGGAGCAGACTTACGCTGCATCCCATCCAAGGCGTTCTGGTAGTTGCCTGGCCGGCGATGCCGGCTATTATCCTTAGAGGAGATGGCTGGGGACATGTCACACACGTAATCCAGCGCTGCTTTGCTTCAGAAGCCGAAGAGGCTGGCCGGCGGTCCTCCCCACCGAAGACCCTTTTCCCTAGCGCTGGTCGCAGGTGGCCAGAGGCTCCCAGGTTAAAGTTCCCCCCTCCCGGCAGATTCCCTGCGGCGGCCTCTCTTTACTTCCGCCGGCCGAGCGGGCAGGTTCCCTCACCACGACAAGGAGAGGAGGACAAACAAGATGCGTCTCTCCCTCTTCGGCATCGGGAAGCGATGGGCCTCCTTTCGGTGACTTGAGAGTATCTCAGCCGGCCTGTGGGATCCACACGATGCCCGCTACAAAACTTCCTTCCCCTCCACCGATTGGCCAACCCTTTTCACAGCCTGGCTGAGTCCGACCCATAAAAGGGTCCTACCTGGAAACATAAGCCTAAGCCGAAGAGGCCGCCAAATCAATAAAACCTCCGCACCGCCGTGGTCTTACTCCATTGGCCGAGGGGGGGATTTCGTCACGAAAGAATTGCCCTATCAGAGAAAGGTCCGGGAGAGGAAAGCGAGAAATAATAAATGGTAGCGGCGATTGCCGGTTAGAGAGGGCGACGCTTCCGGCTCCCTTTAAAGTTACGAGCCATGAATGTTAAGAGGGAGGAGAGACGTCACAGGGAAGAGGTATTAGAGCAGCCTTTACGTATCTTCTACCTACCCCATTGCTCCTCAACCTCCGCAGCTTTTAAGAGGTATGGGCTTCATCTTGGCTTAGGGAATTCTGGGAGTTGAAGCCGGCCTGCTGAAAAGCTGCTGAGGTTGAAAAACACTGGTCCGTCCTGTTACATGTTGCAATGGGAACAGGAAGGGCGGGGTGGTCTAAAGCTACGCTATATACCTAACGTACCTTTATGGCTACCTGCTGCAAAGAAGGGGGCCAGCCTATTCTGGGAAACATTTGAAAGCAGAGCAAGAAGCAAGGGGTGGAAACTAATCTAGAAGACAACCAACGTAGAACTAAGGAGTAATTTCCTAACAGAACAATTAATCAGTGGAACAACTTTACTCCAAAAAATGTGGGTGTTCCAGCACTGGAGATATTTAAGAAGAGATTGGACAAACATTTGTCTGAAATGGTATAGGGCTTCCAGCTTAAACAGAGTGTTGGACTAGAAGATCTCCAAGGTAAGTTCCAACTCTGTTATTCTGTAGATTTTTGTCCATGAGGTGCCAGCTTGGCAATTTAGTTGTCCTCATGCATGCCGCACAAAGGGCTTGACTGGCTAACTCATGTTAGCTAGGATAGAACAGTATTTCTTAGTGTGGTCTAGGACCCTTGGGATTTCAGATTAACAGAGTTGGAAGGGACCTTGTAGGTCATCTAGTCCAATCCACCACCCAAGCGGGAGACCCTACACCATTTCTGACAAATGGCAGTCCAATCTCTTCTCGAAAGTCTCAAATGATGGCGCTCCCACAGCTTCCAAAGGCAAGCTGTTCCATTGGTTGATTGTTCTCACTGAAAGTTTCTCATTTCCAGGTTGAATCTCAGGGGTCCTCCAAATCAGAATTATGTGCCAGCCTATGTTGAAAAATAATACAATATTAAAATCCTGTCAAACTACTGTGGCAGCAAATGAATCAGTTTAAATTTCTAATACAGTAAATATCATTAATTATAGCCAATACAACAAAAGCTCTTTTGGAATCCTCAATTTTTAAAAGCAGGAAGGCATCCTGAGAAAAAATGTTGGTCCAAAATATGTTGCAAACCCAGACTGGTAGTTGATTTTTTGGGGCCCCAGTTTGCAGCATGAATTCAGAAAACTGTTGAATTAATATGCCAAAATAGTTATGGATAAACAGGTCATTTGAACATAGCCACTTCACTCAAAGGCAAAGCTCTGAAATCCTCCGTAACATAATCCTCTGAACTCTTGTATGTCTGTTTTGATATTTTTCCACAATGCCTGGAACTGTTCGAACCCAACAAACATTAAAGTCTTACAGGGCTTTAAAGACAACACATTTATTACAGCACTGAGTACTTTCTGAAGCAAACCACACTTTTGAAAGTGAGTTATAAGCATATTTTAAATAATCCTTAATCACAAGCAGAGAGTTTTCTAAATATAATACATAGTTAGATATACAAAAACATGGGTACACAAGGAGAAGGGAGATACAGAATAGATTATTACAAACATATAACAATGAAAATTTAAAAGATATACCGTATGTTTTGCACTATAAGACACTCCAGACTATAAGACGCACATTAGTTTGACAAGGAAAACAAGGAAAAAAATCTCTGCTTCTGCCACCCAGCATCCATCTGGTATTCATCTGATTAGCGTCTTTGCACAAACAACCTGCTTCCTCCTGTCTGCTGCCTCTGCTGGGGAATGCTGGAGTCTTCACTTCCAAGCAGCTGATTGGCAGTTAGATCAACCTCCTAGAATACCGCCAATCAGCTGTTCTAGGTAATGTGGATCGCCCCCACCTATCACCGTTCACTGCTGCTGCTGCTGCTCAGCACCATCTATTCGCTGCCGCTCAGCACCGCCTGCTTGCCACCGCCATTCGCCGCTAATTGCCACCGCCCGTTTGCCACTGCCCATTCGCCGCCAATTGGCAGTGGTGAACGGGCAGCAATAGGCGATGGCAATCCCTGCCGCCTAGAACAACTGAATGGCGGTATTCTGGAAGGCTGATCCAACTGACAATCAGCTGCTCAGCAGCAAAGGCTTCAGTGTTTTCTGGTGGCGGCAGCAAACGCCACCACACCAACCCCCTGCTCCCCCCACCACAATATTAGCTGTATAAGACGCACAGACATTTCTATCTACTTTTTCTGGGGGGGGGGGGAGTGCATCTTATAGTGCAAAAAATACGGTACTCAAAAAACCCTGTTTTGTCAAACATGTAATTGACATTCTAAGGCATATATAAAAGGAATCCCATATATCAGAGTGCTTATATTTTAAAGATAGAATATTTACATGTATAAAATGAAACAATATATGAGTATAAGAAATTGGGAGGCAGTGCTATAATTAGGCAAAGTGAGGTTCCTGTATGAAGTAGCTGGTTTTCTGTATCATAACTAGGCAATCAAATACTAGTTATTTAATATATAGTTGTTTTATGCTAGAGAAGGGAAGAGTTATGTGCTGGAATTTCTGCCTCAGATGTCATATAATACAGCGTCTCTTGGATCTATGCATTTGAGGACAACATAAATATCTTAAAATGGGTAATGGGAAACCACAGAAAATTCCCCAGACCAGGTCAAGCAGTTACCAGAAATCAAAGGCACATACACATACGGCATGTAAAATGAGCTTAACTATATCATGACAACCTGGGAAGGCTGTCACTGAATCAACATCGCAAGTTCTGTTGAGCTGTCCACTATCTATTCTGAATTATGATACTTCTTGATAAATTTATTTGTGAAATTTGCCGCCTATCTCGACATGGGGCTTCTCTAGGGAGCTTATAATATTAAAAAGGAAGAAAATGAAAGGAATATAAACAGAAGAGAAGTAAAATAAAAGAACAATAAAATAAACAATGAAAAATAACATCATGAGAATACATCAATATCAGAGGTGGTATTCAGCAGATTCTGACCAATTCTGGAGAACCAGTAGCGGAAATTTTGAGTTGTTCAGAGAACCAGCAAATACCACTTCTGACTGGAGATTTTACAGTATTCTTCCCCTGCCACGCCCACCAAACCACACCCACAGAAGCGGTAGTAAAAAAATTTGAATCCCACCACTGATCAATATGATAAAAGATGGACCACCCGAGAGCAAGGGGAGGGGAGGTGGGAGTCTACCATCAATCCAACACCCTCCTCCAGCTTGGCACTGTAGCAAATATATGGAAGAAAATACATTTTTGTCAATCAACTTCAAAGGAAGTGGCAAAATATTATCCAGTCATGATCTCTCTACTAGTGAAATTGCAAATATAATTAGATCCTGATAGATTTTCTCCATGTTAGAAGGCAATTACATACACACTTTTCCTTTTGATATTTTAGTTTCAATTATGTTTTATTGGATGTTCTATATAAATTCTACATAACCTTAAAAAAAATCTATGATCTCAAGGAGGCATCGATTTTTTTTAAATGAGACATTCTTATGTGATTGTTTATTTTACACAATATTCTGAAGTCATCCTTTTTAAAGCGTGCAATAGCAATTTATGTAACATAAAATCAATATTTGTCACCAGAGGTATCTGGATATAACAGAGACATAATGTTTATAAATTTCTCATGAGCAAAACCTCCATAGCAATGTCAAAAAAGACTGTATTCACATAAGACGTAGGTTGGTTTATAGAAACAGTCAGGTAAGAATATTTGTGAAATGATGCAGGGAGTGTTTCTATGACAGCTCCAAGACATGTGGACATCCATATGGAGTGTGAGGCATAAGGCGACCAGCAAAAAAACTCTACAACTTACAAGGCTATTACTGAAGATTAGAATTTCAGTTGTGATGTCACATTGCTCTGTTCACCCTTTTAGCATTGTTGTGGTTTGGAAAAGATGCCTATGGAGTTTCCACCTCCTTCAAGCTACCAAAGCAAAACCTCTGAAGTTTCCAGACTACTGATGTTTTCTCCAAAGACAAAAGCCAATGGTAATGAACTTTCCTGCAAAGAAAATTGCCACAGAATTAAAGTGCCTACTCAAGAAGTCATTATTCATAAATTAGTTTCCATCTGGCTGAGTGTTAAGGGTTATCAGTTAAATCTGGGTGTAATTTTAAAATGGTAGTGCTCAATTTTGGGCATTTCTGTATTAAAACAACACCAATGTATTCATTTATTTTAGTCACTATTGACAGGTGTTATACAATGAAACTTCTGCCAGTTTGATTCTTGGGATTGATGAACTGATTCTCACCTGGATTGTATTCCATGGAGTAAAAACAATATTAACCAAGTCTGGAAAGAAACCAGCATATTTTCTAGCAGTGTTCAAGAAACTATAAAACTTAAAGAGAAATGGAAGGAACTGAATGCCAATTCTAACAAAGAGAGCAAAATGGGGCACAAGAGTACCAGAGAAGTATCATGATAATGTGGAATACAGAAAAAGTATCTGAAGAGACTATTGCAAAAAATATATATAGTAATAATGAAGGAAAACAGTTGCTTCCTTCAATATAGTTAATGAAGAAAAACAGACAAGGTAGAAATTGGGACATCAAGAGTGGAAAGAATACTCAACAAAGATCTGGAGATTGCAGATAAACTTAATGAAATATTGGCATCTGTATTTACCATAAAATGTAAAGGATTGATATCTGAGTCTGTCTTGACCTTGTCAGAAGATATTCTTGGAATCTTTGACTGATTTCAGAGTATCTCCAGCAGAGGAAGTCCTGATGGCACTCCTCCAAGAATTCTTAACTCAAATATAAAGTTGATGACTTCTAACTATCAAGTAATTGTCCTTTGATCCTTTGCAATAAATCTATTTTTTTGAACAAGACACTCTCATAGGAAAGCTTGACTCAAGATACCCTGGAAGCAAGTAACCAGAAAAAAAGAACAAAAAACCTTGTCTTTTCTAGCAAGCTGGGAATTCAGTTACTATATTAACGTGGTCAAATGTGGTCAAAGTTCAAATTTTAGAAAATTAGAAAGGCATTAAGTGTTCAGATAAATTTGAAATAATATTTTGAAATTAGAAATTATAATTAAACTATAAAGCAGTTGTCATTTTATTGTTCTCATCTCATTTTTCTTTTGCTAATTTCCAAGTTCTCTCTTTTCTTCTGCCCCCGCCTTTATTTCCTGTCTGGTAGCACATTAAAGATTGCTGTGCTGCACAGATGGCCTTCACCTCCAGCTCTATGTTTTTCCATGCCGGAAAGATTTGACAAGACTCTCCAATTCAAAGAAAAGAAGTAAGACCTGTCCATTTTTGAAAAATGTGAATGCTACCTTGTTAAAATTCATCTCCTTTGAAAACTTTCCTTTTTAACCTCATGTTGTAATTAATCATGAAAGTTGTCAAACCTCTTCTTTCCTCTTGTAAGATGTCTTAAAATGGCTCAGATAATTCAGAACTTGTTAATTTAGCTACGGTTACTGAAGAAACTCCAAGCAGCTGAATTCCCACAATACATTAGCCTAGTGTAGGCGAATTTTTTTGGCACGTTGCATGAAGACTGAGTTACAACTTTTTTGAATGATACTCTAGATTTAAAAACAAGTTGGAATAAGGCATGTGCTACCCTGAGAATATTCTGGGGCAGGAAGGGCTTTTTCCAGAACATGGAATTCAACCCTTATAGAAAATTGTAACTTGAGTGACTGCAGCTGGAAACATGTTTTTCTTTTACTAAGCTCAGTGAATTTTGAAAAAGAATTACTGATAGAAACACACAACCTTGAACTTCACCCTTGTTAACTTGCCAAGTTAATCAAAACCAAATCAAATTTGTTAAACATCAAACCTGCTGATATCAAAGCTATTGAATTATTTTTCATACTTTTGAATGGTTTTGCATCAGCTGAAAATACGACTACAGATATATTCCTATCTTACAAGTGAATATTGCAAAAGACACACAATTACCTATAACTGATCTCCAGTCATGGTCTATTGTGACAAGGAAGAGCAGATATAGTTATCAATGTCTTCTGGGACTACCAATTCTTAAATTTCAATGTTGCTTCCAATCTGATTCCCAAATAGGAAAAACAGCTTTTTCTAAGGACAGCTGCTAGGGAAAAAAAGAAAAAGAAAGTGTGCTTCCAACCTGATGCTCTCCCTGATTGTATTTGCATGGCACATAGAACCAGTGAATTGTGTTTTATTTAAATGAACCACCTCATGGTTCTGCCACATCATAATAAGTTTATCATCACTTTAACAAACATGCATTCAGAAAGTGGGAGCAATATTCCATTAATTGTCTGATTTTAACTTCTAAACTTATTCTAGCTTTATCTGTCATATCAAGTAATTTTTTTGTCATATATATATATATATATATATATTTATTTATTTATTTATTTATATTTTATTTATATATATTTATTTGCATTCAGCTAAAGGAAGGAATAGGCTTTAGGCACATACTACTTTACCTATACAGACATATTGATGATTGGAAATCTTGTTAGATCTTGATTTCAGGTTCCGATATCCCAGTATTGATGAACATATAAAATCTATTGTTCCTTCAGCAAAACGTGGAAGTTGAAAATGGGGATCAATAGCCACAAAAATCAACTCTCAGACTGAACATGCAGAGAATTGTGAAAGAAGTGATAATGATGCAAATACCGTTTGGATGTATTTGCACACTATGTTGAACTTTGCCATACACCTGTTGCATGTGCAGATTGTTCCCTACTGAAGAACATATTCTCCTGTTTACCTACCAAAATGATCATATCTATAGTAGTTTGAAAACCACTTTCCATATTTGGCTGGCAGACTGGGGCCATATTGTAGCAGTAGGAAATTGTCCCTTAAATCTGCAGTACAAATACCCATATTACTTTTGATGAACATGGCTATTAGATGTGAATCACAGGGTAATCAGGAGAGCTATTAGTGGCACTCCATGATGTATAAAGGAAACTTTGCTAGCACCCCTGTAAGAATACCTGAGGATCCACCAACTTAAAAAAACAAAAACAGCAATGCCATGGAATTATACTATCTTCTATATACTGTACCGATACCATAAACTAGCCAAACTCATTTCAGTCTGGTAAACTGTCTGAAATGAATCCTGAATTATTAGTTTGGTGCCACGTCCATGTTTACTAATAAAAAATTAGCATTTCTGTGAAGTTCATCATCCCTTCCTATGCAATACTGCTTTTAGATGTATGAATAATTATTTTTGTTGTTGTTCTTCCTCAGAACAGAACTTTTCAACCAGCATCTTTCCTAGCCCCCCCCCCCCCCATTCTGAAGTGGTACAATCCATTATGCCACGTTAGATCTTTGCCACTTTACCTTTGAAAGGCAGTTGAGCTGTTGATCCTAAGGCACATCATCAGAGAGTGGATCAGATTGCCCTTCTGCTAGTACCAAAAATATGGTTTCTTTTTTCTTATTTAAATGGATAGCATCTAAGGTAATGTATTTTTATAAGATAAGAGAATGTTGTTTAACCAAGGAGGTGAGATGCAGTCTTGAACACTGAATATTGAATTCATTGGGTGAGGTCCAAATTTTCATATGTTCCCCCCATTTATGATCTTAACAATACTGACTTCAAATAACTTGACTAGGGATTAGTTCTTGAAACTCATGTAGAGTCAACTACAGGATCCAAAACTTTTGTCCAAACAGTAAGAGCAGAGTAATGCCACTGTACCACAAGTTCTGCTCTTTTTGTAGGTATATGTGATGTCACAACACTTCTGTAAAAGGAGTGGAGCTTGAAGTGCACTATTGCTGTTGTCATTTGCCTCTGGTTGATCACTGCCTCTTGGAGGGCACAGGTATGGGAAAGGCTACCTTAGGATATGCCACCACTTACATTTATTTCAAGATAAATATGTCCATATTCTATCAGCATCTTCTGCCACGTCATCTCATCCCCAGCTCCAGTGATAAAGTTTTTTTTGGTATCAGACTATTCTCTTTAGCTTCACAGCATCTATCTACAGTTAATAAAATCCATAACATCCTCTGCTCTTCCACTGAAGGAAAGTCTAAAGACTGGAAAAACTGGAAAGATAATGGGGGACAAATAAATTATGCTGGCAACCGAAGAATAGGTAAAGCCCCTTTGGGTTCAGCATGGGGGAGGGTCTATTTTGTTTTTATGCAGGCAACCCATTTTATTTATGTTATGGTATTTGGGAGCTGGTCACAGTGAAGTGAACCTTGCAGCGAGATGGGTCACAAATTTATTTTATTAAATGTATGTGTTGGCATTTCGAGTGGGTTGGAAATTTTGAGGTGAAAATTTTTAAATGCTGTTTTATGATTAAATACTGTTTTCTATATATTTAATAATTTACATGATGGCATTACATGGATGGATTGGAAATTTTCTGCTTCCTGCTTTTAAAATAGCAAGCAATAGAAATCAGATCTGGCCTGCAAAGTTCCATGGCTTAGTCATAAATATCAGAAAATGTTTGATCAGTTTCCTGATCAATTAGCTGATTGGTGGGATTGATGAATACTGTAGCTAAATCCCTCTTTGGTCTATCCTACTGCTTAGCTGAAGGGAAAAACCATAGTAAGAATTTTTGAGATGATCTCCGTAAATCAGAAGAAAATTAGGAGCTTAAAACTGTTTTTTTGCATTAGTTTCTATACTCCACTGTATTTAGGGAAACTTCTACCTTAAGAGAGCAGAATAATTGAACTGTCTGACCCTGACAAAAACAGAGCAGAGGAAAAGTTGGGGAATTAAATTTTCAGGCATTCCTCTTTTCCACTTCTCATGATTACTCAGAAAAAAAAGTACCCCGTTATTCATCTGAGTGCAGAATATTGCAGCCACTGGAAAGATGTAAGACTTCTTGTTGCCTGTCCCAGTCTCTTGACAGTTCCAATCACGGGTACTCGTTATTTTTCAGGCCCGTTTTAGGCGCCTTTTGGAAACGGGATAGGGAGTTAAAGAGAGCGCTGGATATCACTTCTTCACCCCGCGACTGCTCCTTCCAGGATCCCCCTTGAAAGAACAAAACACAATGTTTAAGCTCCTCCTGCTCCTCCTTTCGCCTTTCCCGCTGAAAAAGACTTCCAGGAAGCAGCGTTTTATGTATTCAATTCCCTCCTCCTCCTCTGTGGCGCCTCGGTCGGTCGTCAGTAGGCGGGCTCCGCGCGCGGCCGCCAGCCGTACACTCTCACTCTCTCTCGCACGCCCGGTCGGCCCCGAAGAAGGCGGGTCGCGGGGACCCAGCTCCTCCTCGCGGGAGGCGCGTCTTCTCGGGGCGGGCGGCGGGATTAGCTCATCTCGGCGGCGGAGACAGAACAGCAGCAGCGGCGTTAGCGGCTCGTCCGCGGCAGCTTCGACTCTCGCCCTGCTGGGTTCGGCTCAGGCGGAGGGGCGCGGAGAGGCTCGCTCGTCCTTCTCGTCCCCGTCCCCCCCCCCCCCCCCCCCCCCCCGCCACCCCAGTCTGGGTGTTTGTCTCCGGCCGGCTCTATGGCTGTGTGCAATGGAGAAGCCAAGGTCAGTGCCGCGCCGGCGGAAGGGACGGCAAGATGATAGGGGAGAAGGCAAGCAGGCAGGCGGGCGGGCGCGGGGAGGAGGGGGAAAAGCCAGCCTCGCAGCCGAAGCGCGCGGTGCCTTCCCTGGCCTGCCACCTTCCTCCGGGAGCTTTGTGCGTGGGAGAAGAGGCGGGAGCCGGTGGCAAGGGCAGACCTGCTTCCCCCCCACCGCCTCCCCTCGTCCCCGGGCTTCGTCTTCAAGAGCAGCAGGCTTTCTTTACGCGCATACCCCCCCCCCAATCTCCATTCCCAGCAACGGCATTTCCTTTTGGCCCTTCTCTCTCTCTCTCTCTCTTTCCCCCCGCTTCTCGGCGGGAGGAGGGCTTCATGCCGGGCACATGGGAAAGAGGGCGGAGGGATGAGGAAGGAGAGGCACGAAGAAGGGTGACTGGCACTTGGCTCTCCCTCCCCCCAAACCCCGGCACCGGGGAGAAAAAGGAAAGCGCCCGGCCTCGAAGTCTGCCGCTCGG